TGGTTTGGCTGGATGCTCAGGGACTTGGAAGAAACACGATTGGAAAACTGGTGACAAAGAAATCTGGGCAAGAGGTATGCGGATGGACCTCTCTGAGTTGTCAAAAACTGTGAAGATATTTGTGTCCCACGTAAGTGCTCACTAATGGGTGACCTCAGCAGAGAATTCTGATAACCAAGTGGATAGGATGACCCCTTCTGTGCACACCACTCAGCCTTTTTTCCCAGCCACTTCATCATTGCCCAGTGGGCCCATGATCAAAGAAGTGGCCATGGTGGCAGGGATGGAGGTTGCATATGGGCTCAGCAACAGAACTTCGACTCATCAAGGCTGACCTGGCTATGGCCACTGCTGAGTGCCCAATTTGCCAGCAGCAGAGACCAACACTGAGCTCTTAATATGGCACCATTCCTTGGGGTGACCAGCCAGCTACTTAATGACATGTTGATTATACTGGACCTCTTCCATCATAGAAAGGACAGAGGTTTGTCCTCACTGGAATAAACACTTAATACAGATATAGGTTTGCCTATCCTGCACACAATGCTTCTGCCAAGACTATTAGATGTGGACTCACAGAATGCCTTATCCACCATCATGGTATTCCATACAGCATTGCCTCTGACCAAGGCACTCACTTTATGGCTAAAGAAGTGTGGCAGTGGGCTCACGCTCATGAAACTCACTGGTCTTACCATGTTCCCCATCATGGATTGATAGAATGGAATAGACTTTTAAGTCACAATTACAACATCAACCAGGTAATAATACTTTGCAGGGGTGGGGCAAAGTTCTCCAGAAGGCCATGAATGCTCGAATCAGTGTCCAATATATGGCACTATTTCTCTCATAGCCAGGATTCACAGGTCCAGGAATCAAGAGGTGGACGTGAAAGTGGCACCACTCATCATCACCTTTAGTGATTCACTAGCAAAATGTTTGCTTCCTGTTCCCATGACATGACATTGTGCTGGCCTAGAGGTCTTAGTTTGAGACGGAGGAACACTGCCATAAGGTGACGTAACAGCAATTCCATTAAACTGGAAGATTGCCACCTGAACACTTGGGGCTCCTCCTAACTTTAAGTCAACAGTCTAAGGGAGTTACAGTGTTGGCTGGGGCGACTGACCCAGACTACCAAGATGAAATCAGTATACTACTCCACAATGAAGGTAAAAGAGAGTATGCACATAATACAGGAGATCCATCAGGGCATCTCTTAATATTACCATGCTCTGTGGTTAAGTCAACAGGAAACTACAAAAGCCCAGTCAAGGCAGGACTACAAATGACCCAGACCCTTCAGGAATGAAGGTTTGGGTCACTCCACCAGGAAAATAACCGTGACCTGCTGAGGTGCTTGCTGAAGGCAAAGGGAATACAGAATGGGTAGTAGAAGGCAGCTAGTCACCTATACCAGTTACAATCAAGTGACCAGTTGCAGAAATGAGGACTGTAATTGTCATCATTTCCTCCTTTTGTTAAAAACATGTTTGTGCATATATACACTTGTACTAATAAAATACCTTCATTTTTCTTTTTCCTTTATCATGTGACATAGATTGACTTCATATCATCATTTAAGTATTATAAACTTTATGTAATAGCATTTGGGTTGGAGATTGGTGTATTCTGGTTGTACAAAGGATAGTTGTATTATGTTAGGTGTAATTATGACCTTATTACTGTCTTTATTTGAAGATTATGAATTATCTCAGGAGATGTGTATGTGTTCAAGTTGATAAAGAGTAGACTTGTGATGGTTAATACTGTCAATTTGATTGGATTAAAAGGATGCAAAGTATTGATCTTGAGTGTGTCTGTGACAGTGTTGCCAAAGGAGATTAATCTTTGAGTCAGTGGGCTGGGAAAGGCAGACCCACCCTTAATGTGGATGGGCACCATCTAATCAGCTGACAGCACAGCCAGAATATAAAGCAGGCAGAAAAACGTGAAAAGACTAGACTAGCTTAGCCTCTCAGCCTACAGCTTTCTCCTGTGTTGGATGCTTCCTGCCCTTGAACATTGGACTCCAAGTTCTTCAGCTTTGAAATGCAGACTGGCTTCCTTTCTCCTCAACTTACAGATGCCTACTGTGGGACCTTGTGATCATGTGTGTTAATACTACTTAATAAACTCCCTTTATATATAGTTCTGTCCCTCTAGAGAACTCCAACTAATAAAGAGAATGAGATAGAGGAGGAGAGAACAGAGGCCATGATTGCACTATTTACTGTATCAAATATTTGCAAGTCTTGCTAATTCACAATCTGGGTTTATTAGCTAGAAGAATCCCATTACCACAGACATATTCATCTTCAGTTTATTGTCCAATACAGAAGGTCTGCCATCCTAGCTTCCTGTCTGCCTGCAAGTAGGCAGAGCCATTTTTAACACTTCTTACCCTGAACATACTTCAATTCATTTAGAATTCTTGAAGTCCAGGCCAAGCACCTCTAAGATAAAATTTAGCATTCTATTTTGTCCAGGTGTTCACTAATGGTTCCATATTAACTTGCTTTTGCAGATAGATTATAAATTCCTCGTGGGCTAAAATCACACCTTATTTTTTATCTTCCCCTTGCCCCAACCACTAGCATAGTACTGAGTACATAGTTCAAATTCCATTAACTCCATAATGATCCTACTTATGAAGACATAATTTGAAGAATTCTGAAAGTCAGTAAGCTAACCTATAAAAGAATACTAGTTCACTATTTATGTACTGAAATTAATGCCCTGGTATGATGTTTGGGGTTACTAAACACAGTGATATGGTAATTTGGTAAGAGACAGGAAGGCCAATGCCACACTTCTCAGGGCAACTGGAATTGTGTCTTCAAAGGAGAAGTAATTCCCACTATCAACTGGGATGAACAGGATAACTGATTTGTGAGAAGAGCCCTTCTGTAGGCTCAAGGAGTGTGAGTAGCATTCAAGGAGGAGGGAGGAAGGGAGGATTTTTGTCCCCAAGTGGCATTTGGCAACACTTTGAGACAGTTTTGGTCAGTGGTGAGATGCTACTGGCATTTACTGGGTAGAAGCTGGGGATGCTGATAAAATAAACATCCTACAATGCACAGAACAACCTTCCACAACAAAGAATTATCTGGCTTAAAATATCAATAGTACCAAGGTTGAGAAACCCTTTATTTTATAAGCAATGAAGGGAATTCTTTATCCTCCACTGTCAGGCCTGAATTTAAAGAGTAAAATTATCTAAAAGCTGTTTCTGAGTAAGACAAGTTAGAAAATGGGCACTGTCATCAGGAGGTGGTATCTCCAGTTAAAAAAAAAAAAAAAAAGCGGAAATAGAGTAGTCCTATTTTGTATATAAGATTATCCTTATGCTATTCTATTTTTTACTTTTATGTTTTAGAGCTGGGAGTCTCTCTGTGTTACCTAGGCTGGAGTACAGTGGTACAATCATAGCTCACTGTGGCCTTGAACTCCTGGGCTCAAGAGATCCTCCAACCTCAGCCTCCTGAGTAGCAGGAACTAGAGGTGTACACAACCACACTCACATATTTATTTACTTATTTTTTGAGGTAGGGTCTCTGCTGCCCAGGCTGGAGCGCAGTATCACAATCTCAGCTCACTGAAACCTCCACCTCTCTGGTTCAAGCGATTCTCCTGTCTCAGCTTCCCAAGCAGCTGGGATTACAGGCACTCTCCATCATGCTTGGCTAATTTTTGTATTTTAGTAGAGACAGGATTTCATCATGTTGGCCAGCCTAGTCTTGAACTCCTGACCTCAGGTGATCCAGCTATCTCGGCCTCCCAAAGTGCTAGGATTACATTTTTAGCCCATTTCTATAAACTAGGTGAGTAAACTTTTTTTTTTCCCTAGCAAACATAACTTGGTATATTAGTGACTATAGAAAGTCTTTTTACAGCAACAGAAATTACCCTGTATCAAGACTTTGGCAAATTCCTGGCATCTCCGGGCATGTTTAGGTTTCACCACTCATGTGAAATGTTATGATTACATTTTCATTTCATCCGACGGAATAAGCGGCTTATCTCCTTTCCTAGAACTTTTAGTGCTCTATTGTCCCCCTCACTTTAGTTAAGGCCTGCCATGTTCTCTCCCACTGTCCTTGACTTTCCCAACAGCATATCCATCTGCTCAAACAGATGTCACTGCAAAACAAAACAAACTTTTAACAAAAAGCAATCTGTTTGTATATTTGGAACCTTTTATATTACAATATAGCATGTTTCCTCAGAAGAATTCATGGAGATTCTTTAGGGTTGGGGGTTTAATCTACTGTACTGATATTTTCCTTAGGTAGACAAAGACAACCTCTAAGTGCGTCAATCTTTAACCACGACATTATCGTCCCCCAGGCACTAAGACATAACTAGGGCATAACGAGTTTTATTTCCACCAGAGGCGCCTAGTAACTCCCAGGTTCAATGCCCCCAGGTGGCCGACATGTGACGTGCTCTACTTTTTGGGCTGGGGACATTAGCCCAACAAGTTTTGGCCACAAGGATCACGCGGATAGTCTTGGGGACTTGGGGATGCCCAGCGAAATGTGCTGCGCCTAGGCGGTGGGCGGCCTCGAACTCCCGCCTGCTCTCCGGCAGCCCACAGCAGTGCGCCTGCCAAGGCCGTAGGCTGCAAAACTCAGCGCGGCCCAGAGCTGGCCTCCAAGTGCACCTCGCGCAGGGCAGGCTTTCGGTGACGTCCCGCGTCCCACCCATTCAGCCCTGGACTCGACCCCAACCCCCGCAGTCCACAGAGGCGGCGGCGGCGGTAAGCGCAGCCGATGCCACATCCCTAGCGGCAGGCTGAGGGAACCTGCCTCCTCTCCGGGGCGACCCAACGATACGATACGTCCATGCCGGAACCGAACCCGGCGACGTCCTTACCGTCGCTCGCCAGGCACGCGCCCCTGTCAGAGGCGACTCTGCGGCCCTCTCGCGAGAGAGCGCCCGTGGTACCTCCTTCCTCTCAGCTGTCTTTCTCTCCCCGCCCCCGGAGTGATTGCGCGGCTTCCTCCAGAGGGCGGGAACCTTGGACGTGGCGGGGCTGGGTCAGCCAGGGCGCGGGGCCTGGGGAGCTCGGCGCAGCCTCTCGGCAGGCTGGCCTTCCGCGCCGCCGTCAAGCCCCCGACAGACCCCACGCCTGCCGGGTAGACCGGCGCCAGCCCGAGTGACGCCTGGCGTGGGACCCCGGGCGCGCGGCTCAGTGCGGCGGGGCGGGCGGGCGCCACACCTGTGCAGGCGAGGGCGGGGCGAGAAGGTGCGCAGGCGCGCTCGGGGCTGGCGGGCGGTGGCTCCCGGGACGTTGCGCAGCCAAAGTGGCCGGCTCGGCGCGCGCGCTCGCGGTGGCGTAATCTCTCAGCCTCTCTGTGTCTCGTTTCCTCCGCCTCAGTTTGGGGCGGGTCGGGGAAATGGCTGAGGAGATGGAGTCCTCTCTTGAGGCAAGCTTTTCGTCCAGCGGAGCGGTGTCAGGGGCCTCAGGGTTTCTGCCCCCTGCCCGCTCCCGCATCTTCAAGATAATCGTGATCGGCGACTCCAACGTGGGCAAGACCTGCCTGACCTACCGCTTCTGCGCTGGCCGCTTCCCCGACCGCACCGAGGCCACGATAGGGGTGGATTTCCGAGAACGAGCGGTGGAGATTGATGGGGAGCGCATCAAGGTGAGCGGATGGGGGACTGTCGGGGAGGACGGGATGACAGGTGTCCCAGCCCCACTGTGGGTTGGTCGCTGGCCCTGTGCATGCTGTTTGCTCCATTTTTTTTCTCACGCTGATGAAGGAGTTGGGGATTGAAAGAATTAGTGAACAGCAAACTTCTAACGCATTGTTTCTGAAACTTCAGTGTGCATATGATTTACCTGGGGGGAATCTTGTTGAAAACGCAGGTTATGATTTGATAATCTCGCGGATGATGCATGTGCAGCTAGTCCGTGAACCACACTTTGAGTTCAGGAGTGTAGGGCGTATCTACCGACGCATTGACTGTGTCTCATGTGCTGGGAGTCAATGAGATATGAACGGAGGAAAAAACTGAAATTTCGCAAGCATGGAAAATTCATTTAATCAGTAATAGTTATTAAACATTCATTCGAGCGGTGCCTTAGGTGTTGTGGAAGTAAAACCCATTGCCTTTGAGGAAGTACTTAGGTATTCTCTTGCATACAGTTTTCTGTGATACTTTCTGTATGATACTGATTTCAGAAAAATCTGTTTTCCTGCAGAAACGTTCTGTATGTGATAGTTCCTACTCGGGTTGCCAAAAGCATTTCTTATGATGCCACCTCAGACGCACTCTCAATTTTTTATTCCCTTTAAGTCGTTATTGGTGGCCTCTGAGACTGGGGACACTGAGTGACAGTAATAGTGGAGAAGGTAGTATAGGCCCCAGGCCAGGTTTGAGATTCTGAGGGGTTGGAATGTAACGGTGGAATGAGGATCAATGACAAAGTATAGTAGGCCTCCGGATGGTAACCTTAGACACACTTTCATTGCAAGCCACCACTAAATGCTACCTGTTGATACCACCCCTTAAAACATGGGTGGAACTACCTTGCTTTATACTACTGCTTTAAAGCAGTGATCATCTTTATCTCAGTCTCTTGATGGGGCGGGGGAATGGTGGGAAGAACAGGCTTGCTTCAGACATTCCTACGCATATCTTTGAGGCAAGAACAGTGTATTTTTCCGTTCCCTAATCATCGCCCTCCCACCTCAAGGGGTTATATTGCTTATGGTTGCAGAGGAGAAGTAAGCTGAGTTAAAAGAAATTAACCCTTCTTTGGTGCTTTTGTCTTTTAATTTTTCATGTTAATGTTTTATGTCCCATATGAGCTGTCTGTGGTGGTTTTGGGGGTGCTTTGTATTAGGGAGTTAAGAAAGATTTGTATGCTTGCAAAAGGAAAGATAGAATGAGAGACTAAACATTTTTCACCAGAATTAGATTTGGCAGAGAAGCCTTTGGAGTGAAAAAACGATGGAGCTTCTGAAGTTCCAAGGGAGTTCAGTTTGGGAGAAGCAGGAATCTGGAAAGTATGTGGGCTTTGGAGCCCAACTAACCTAGATTCAAATCTGAACCTATGACAGGGTAAGGATGGGCTGTGTGTCCTTGATAGGGTGACCAACTTTGCCCAAGACTGTCCAAGTTTTACAACTGAGTCTCACATCCCAGGAACCACCTGTTTTGGGTACACTGAAATAGTTGGTCACCCTGGACCTTAGGCAGATTCTTCAACCTTTCAGAGTCTGCTTTTTTCTTCTGAAAAACTGGGATCGTAATATTTTATCAGGCTGCTGTGAGGATCAGATGAGAACATATATGAAGCACCTGGTTCATAGTTGGTACCTTTAAAAAGATTCTTTGTCTTTCCTGGTGGCTTAACATTATTTTTCCTGTTTGCCACCATTAGTTCTGCAGTTGTACACCCAAAGTTGAAAGCAGTGATAGAGGAGGGAATAGGTAAACAGCCAAGCGGAGAGAAATTTAAAAAACAAAAACAAACAAAAAAAGGAAGTAGGAAGTTCTTTCAAAAGTGGAGAGAATGAGGGTGGGGGAGGAGTTGGGATTTGAGGGCCTTTTCTCTGTTCCTGGGTTGTGCTTTATTACTTAAAGATCACAAACGAATCAGGTGCAAATTTAAGAGATAATAGTATTGAAAAAATAGAAAGCATGTGCAGTGTATAAAGTCAATTAACTGCTGAGGCGAGTGCTAACAGTGATAGGAAAGACAGACCCACAGGTATCATGAATCTGGGTGCACAGAGTTGACCATTCTGGTTGAGAAGAGCAAGGAGAAAATATTTTTGGGGGATATTATTTCTACTGAACTTTAGCCTAACTTGTTATATTGCTGTGCACTTGGACACTGAGATTGTTTTTCTTCTAAGGCCCTAGCCATTGACTTGTGCCACCAATGGTGAGACTTGGGAAAGATGTTTATTGTGGTTGAAATGACTATAGACATGTTCTCAGATTTCTATAATAGGAAAAGATATAGCTATGTTAGGCATTTTTTTTTTAAACCAGAGAGCTTAATTTTTTTAGTGCCCTTTTTTCTGAAATGGAAAAGTGATATAAAGAGCTTTATTTGATGTGCTGCTTCTGCTGCATTTTTTGTTAACCTGTAATACATCTTAAGTGCTTCTGAAATGTTCACATTATGTCTTTGGAAATTGTGAGCCTGATCTAAAATGACATTTTTCCTAATTTTTCTTCTTAAAGCTGGAAAGCTGTATGTTACTTGACTAGTAAAATGCCATTCTAGACAGTATTTGTTTGATAAAAATGAGATACTGCATTGAATGTTTTGATAATCGTGGACTAGAAAATTTTCAGAGAGCATGACTTAACAGCAGTGCCCTTTCAGAATCCATTAAAATGTTTTATGAAATGTAAGAACGTCTTTCTCTGCTAATCCATTCCTAAGCAGTATATGTGTGTAATTGAAAGAGGAAAATCTTGTTTGCAAAATTTTGGAAGTAAAAAAAAATTATACAATTGAATTACTTAAATAAAAATACATTTGGCTTTTAAATTGAGACTCCTGACTCTAATCCTTATGCTCCTTCCTCGTTTGTGTATCTCCTTCATGACTAACTGTATTCATTTCGCACAGTCATTTTCCAATGGCAGACACACCAACTCATTAAAGCCTGGTCTTGTATTTAATCCAGCCTCCCATTAGAGGTCAGCAGTTCCTACCTGAACATTTCAGTCGCTTACTTTTTTGTAGCAGTAGAAATGAAATGTTCCCGTGTTAAGTGCAAAATGTTAATATTAACTAAAGGAAAATAATCAGGACCTCTCCCCACACTGGTAAATCAAATATTTAATGAGTAATTGCACACAGGAGAAATAATTATGCATATGAAGTTGAAGTTTGAAAGCGCAGGTTTCAATATGTAACATGCCTAGAGAGAAGAGTAGAAATTTTATTAAAATTTTGGTTTTTTTTTGTTTTGAGATGGAATCTCACTCTGTCACCCAGGCTGGAGTGCAGTGGTGTCATCTTGGCTCACTGCAGCCTCCGCCTCCCAGGTTCATGCAGTTCTCCTGCCTCAGCCCCCCAAGTATCTGGGTCTATAGGTGCGTGCCACCATGCTTGGCTAATTTTTTTGTATTTTTAGTAGAGATGGGATTTCACTGTGTTAGCCAGGATGGTATCGATCTCCTAACCTCATGATGGTATCGATCTCCTAACCTCCTCTCCTAGCCTGCCTCAGCTCCCAAAGTGCTGGGATTACAGGTGTGAGCCACTGCGCCTGGCCTAAATATTTTTATAGCATGATGAAGATGCCATTCAGTGAATACTGTATAAATATAAAATATAAAGTAAGTTACTTACTCTAATTATTTTTCTGTGTTGATATTCATTAAAAGTAAATTAATGTTTATAAGTCAAAAAATATTTTATATGAAGTCACCTTATACCCTACCTTAAATCAAATTGATACTTCTTAAAATTTGGTGTTGGTGGTTGGAGAGACACCAAATTGATTCTCTTGATTTGATTGATTTGCATTGAAATTCAGTGAATGAGAATATTAGCAGTTAAGGTATCCTAAGAATACTTAGGAATCTTGTGATCTCTTAGTTCAGAAACTTTTGGGCAGTTTGGGTCTGGTCTGACAGACTTTCAGTTGCTGGGATTTGGTCCTGGGGCTGACATGGTGTAAGTAATACACGTTTTCACAGACCCAAGTTTTCCTATTATCTGAAGGATCCCAGGAGCCAGGTTAGAATTCCTGTTGTTCTTCCAGTCTGATTTAAGAAGCCTATGATTCTCTTCTACTACTTCTTATGAAGATGGCAGCATTGGAGTGTACATTCAGAGGATGTGAGAAGAGAAAATTACTTACCTCTCTGGAATCAGTGGTCAAGATCTTTTGCTTTGGAGACTGTGTTAGGACACTAAAAAAATTAGTTTAAGCAAAAAGGGAATTTATTGTTCCATATAACTAAAATGCCCAGAAGTAAATTTCTCTGCTAGTTCCAAGAACAGTCCTACATGCCCATTCCTAAACTATGGTAGTGCAGGGGTGCGATGATCTGATTAGTCAGACCTAGGTCAAACACCCTGCCTGGGAACCAGTGGTTCATGTGAATTAAAAGCAGGGAGGGCTGATTCCCAAGGAAAATGGGGTGCTATTAATGGAAGGGAGAATGAGGGTTGGGCTGGAGAAAACAATGTGCATTCTCTACAGAATCAGCTAGGCCAGGTTTAAATTCTGGCCTTAAGACTTACTTGTTTTGTGGCCTAAGCTGAATTACTTAAACCTCAATTTCCTCATTTGAAGATTGGGTAATTATTGTATAGCTTTCCATATATTAAATAAGTTCATGTAAAGGACTTAGCAGAGTGCCTGGAGAGTACTTGGAATGTGCTAAGCCCCAAATCAATATTAATAGTTTAAGAGTAAATGCTTATTCCTTCCGGAGAGAGATGGTAATGGAAAAAAAACGGGGGGCAGTGAAAGAATAGGAAGAAAGGATAAATAACTAAGATTACTGTACCATATTTTTTCCTCTAAGGCAATAACTAATTGAAAAAAAAAAAAAAGATGAGCCCATAATGTTGCATAAGTTTTCCCAGCTTTTAAGATTAAAACAACCTCTTGAAAGGCTAAATGACTGGATCAAAGTTACACAAGTTGGTGATAGTTCT